CTTTCACACTCTACTTACATCAATGGATAGATCATCCAAACAGAAAATCAGCAAAGAAAAGGTAGCTTTGAATGACACATTGGACCAGATGGATTTCACAGATATTAAAAGCATTCTGCCCTAGAACAGCATAATACACATTCTTTTCAAGTATATATGGAACATTCTCCAGAGTAGATCACATATTAGGCCACAAGACAAGTCTCAACAAGTTGAAGAAGATTGAAGTCCTATGATGCATTTTTTTTTCTGGCTGCAATGCTATGAAACTGGAACTTGACCACTAGTAAAAAAATCTAGAAAGAACACAAATACATGGAGGTTAAATGACATGCTACTAAACAATGAATGGGTCAACCAAGAAATCAAAGAGGAAGTAAAAAAATACATGGAGACAAATGAAAATGAAAATACAGTGGCCCCAAATCTTTGAGATGCAGCAGAAGCTACTTGAAGAGGAAAGATTATAGCAATTCAGGCCTACCTCAGGAAGAAAGAAAAATCTCAAGCTATCTAACCTTACACCTGAAGGAGCTAGCAGATAAGAACAAATAAATTCCTAAGCCAGTAGAAAGAGGAAAATAATAAAGACTAGAGCAGACATAAACAAATACAAACTAAAAAAGACAATTTAAAGACCAATGAAATCAGGAACTGGTTCTATGAAAAATTCAACAAAATTGATAAACTTTCAGCCAACTCATCAAAAAATGACAACCCTCAAACAAAATCAGAACTGAAAGGAGAAGAATAAGTGACACCACAGAAATACAAGTGATTGTAAGAGAATATTATGAAAAATTATATGCCAATAAATTGGGCAACTTAGAGGAAATGGATAAATTCCTAGAAACATATAACCTCCTAAGCTGAATCAGGAAGAAAGAGAATATTTGAATAGACCTATTGCCAGTAAAGAAACTGAATCCATAATAAAAAACTGCTCCCCCCGCCCCCCCCGCCAAAAAAAAATAAAGTTCAAGACCAGATGGCCTCACAGGTGAATTCTACCAGTTAAAGAATTAACTATTTCTCTCAAACTATTCCAAAGAATAGAGGAGGAAGGAAAGCTTTCAAATTCATTCTACAAGGCCAGCAATACCCTGATTCCAAAACCAGATTAAGAAACACACACACAAAACCAAAACTACAGGCCAGTATCTCTGATGAACATAGATACAATAGTCCTCAACAAAATATTTGCAAACAAGATCCAACAATACATTAAAAAAAATCATTCACCATGATCAAGTGTGATTTATTCCTGGAATGCAAGGGTGATTCAACATTTGCAAATCAAGTGATGTGATTCATCACATCCACAAGAGCAAGAATTAAAAACCATACAATTGTTTCAGTAGTTGCAGAAAAAAGTATATGACAAAGTACAATATACATTCATGATAAAAAAAACTCAACAAAGTAGGTTTAGAGAGAACATACTTCAATATAATAAAGTTCATATATGAAGTGAAAAACCCAAAGCTAACATATACTCAATAGTGAAAAATTTAGAGCTTTCCCCCTATGATCAGGAATAAGACAAGGGTATCCATTCCAACCACTATTATTCAATATCTATTGGAAGTCCTAGCCATAGCAATCAGACAAGAAAAAGAAATAAAAGGCATTCAAATTGATCAAGAAGTAAAACCTGCTATTTGCAGATGGCATGATAAGGACTCCACCAAAAAATTACTAGAACTGATAAATGAATTCACTAAGATCACAGGATGCAAAACCAATATGCAGAAATCCACTGCATATCTATCTATACACTAACAATGAAGTAGCAGAAAGAGAAATTAAGAAAACAATTCCATTTACAACTGCACCAAAAAGAATAAAATCCCTAGGAATAAACTTAAGCAAGGAGGTGAAAGACCTGTAATCTGAAAACTAAAACATTGATGAAGAAATTGAAGATCACACAAACTAAGGAAGATATACCCCATGCTCATGGATTGGAAGGAAAAAAATATTGTCAAAATGTCCATACTACCCAAAGGAATCTATACATTAATGCAACCCTATCAAAATACCAACAGCACTTTTCACAGAACTAGAACAAATAATCCTAGAATTTCCATGGAACTACAAAAGACCCCAAATAGGTGTAACAATCTTTAAAAAAAGAAAAAACAAATCTGCAAGATGTACTACAAAGCTGTGGTAATCAAAACACTATGGTATGGGCACAAAAACAGGCATGTATATCAATGTAATAGTATAGAGAGCCTAAATATAAACCCATGATTATACGGCTAATTAATCTTTGACAAAGGCAAAAATACGCATTGGTAAAAAAGATAATCTTTTCAACAAATGGTGGTGGAAAAACTGAACAATTAGTTATACAATAATGGAATGATCATTTTCCTACACCATCTGCAAAAAATAAACTCAAAATGGATTAAGGACTGAAATGTGAGATATGAAACCATAAAAATTCTAGAAAAAGGCGCAGGCAATAGTCTCTCTGACATTGGCTGTAACAATGTCTTTCTAGATAGCTCTTCTGAGGCAAAGGAAGCAAAAGTAAAAATAAACTATTGAAATCACATCGAAATTAAAAGCTTCTGTACAGGAGACAATCAACAAAACTAAAACCTACTGAATGGGAGAAGACATTTGATAAAATATCAAATAAAAAAATATCAAATAAGATATCTGACAAAGGGTTAGTATCCAAAATATTTAAAGGACTCATATAACTCAATACCAAAAAAATATAAAAAAGGCCAGAAGACATGAACAGATGTTTCTCCAAAGAAGACATGTAATAACAGAATTGTCGAATCAGTATATTGTACACCTGAAACTTATATAACGCTGTACATTAACTACACTAAAATTTACAACAACGAAGCAAACCAAGTGAATTGTACAAGTCTAAAGACAAAACATTTATTACCCATGAAAATTTTTGATAAATCACAAAGGTATCTAAGTAATTTTAAGTAGGTCCATAATTCCTGAAAAAAGCCATCATTTTACAAATATAACTTTTCTTTAAGCTCTGCATTATTTCTGTGGCAAATTCTTTGACAGATCAATAAAATGTTTCCTACATTCCCAATAATAGAATTGCATTCCCTATTATATATCTCTCTCTGTAAAAGAATAAGGTTTGTAATTTGGCATCTAAAAATTATATTCTACAGAGAATAAACAAGAAATCTGTTTGCATTTTAAATGTAATTTGTGATATAGTTGGCAAAGTGTATAGAGGTGGCCAAAAAATACCCTAAAAGCTGTTATTCAACATCTCTCATCATCAGAGAACTGCAAATCAAAACCACAATGAGGTATAAGCTCACACTGTGAGAATGGCCAAACTCAAAAACACAAGAAACAAGTGTTGATGAGGATGTGGAGAAAAAGGAACCCTGGTGCATAGTTGGTGGGGATGCAAACCAGTATAGTTACTGTGGAAAACAGTATGGAAAATGGTTCATTAAACAATTAAAGGTAGAACTACCCCATAATCCATTAATTCCACCAGTGAGCATTTACCCCCAGAATACAAAAACACTAATTTGAAAGGATATATGCACCCCTCTGTTTATTTCATTGTCATTTACAATAGCCAAGGTATGGAAGTAACCCAAGTGTCCATCTATAGATGAATTGATAAAGAAATGGGAATATATATTAAATGCTACATAAATTGGAAAAGTTTTTCCCTAATTCTGAGTGAAGCCAAATAGCTTTCAATGTTTAAGAGATACTCTCTTTTCTTTCTTGTGAATAGTCCTTCTACATTTTTTATCAATTTGCATAGAATTGATATAACTTTTCATATAAGAGTCTCGTTGCTTGTTACAATATCTTCTGTTTGGGACATTTTTTATTTGCTATACATAAATTGTATATTTATTTAATTAAATATAATTAAAATTATATAAAATTATAATTATATAAAATTATATATATATGAAATTATATATTTATAATTATAAATATATAATTCTGTGATCTCATGATTTGAGATCATACTTAAAATCATACTTAAACTTTCTTTTTTGGGAATAAAGTGTCCAGATTTTTCTCTGATATTTTCCAATATTCTATGGCTTTATTTTTTAATATTGAAGATCTGACTCTTTAGTGGTATTAGTATTGGTGGTGGTGATAGAAGATGTGGGAAAGAATCCCATTTTCAGTTATCCACCTAATTTTTAGAAAATAATATAACTATAAATCTTTAGTGTCATTTCGTGTGGTTTTCATAAAGTATTATGGCAATATTTTTCTGAAATTTAAGGAAATACTGTTAGATTTTCTTAAAATAGTACATTATGAAAAACTAGATGTTTTCTGCAGTTACAGTACTGGTAACTTGGCACAGCACATTTTATGAGAAGTTACATTAGTAACAATCTGAGACCAATTAATGTAATTTGTTAATTTACAACTTGTATGATATTTATAACCAGATTGGTTGGAGATCCAATCATTCCATGATAGGTATATTCTGTTTCTTTACAGGATGGGCCCCTTATCCCAGGTCTCTGAGCCAAAACAATGTGGTTTTAGAAGGGTACTGTTCACAGCCTGACTGCAGCAACACAAAACTTTTATTGTTAGAAAAATAATTAAAAGCAGATAGCTAACTTTTAATTCTTACCCGATTTAGCAGATGAATAGTTCTTCTTGCATTTATTTTTATTGTATTCTATTCTTCATTTATGGATATATGATTTCCTCTTTTGGAAAGCATACATAAAAACCAAATTTGCATAACACAGAATGGATCATTCATTCAAGAACATAGAGTTGCATTGTGTTTTAACCATTCTAGCCACACAAAAATACATCTTCCATTCACGGTTATATGCTAATCATATTTAATTACAGATATAAAGAGTCCCAGATGAAGAGATGCCTCATCTGAATTCTTCCTAAAATGTTTCTCTTCTTTGTCAAAAGAAGTTGCCATTCTTCTGACCTCATCAGAGCAAATTATAAATAATGGAATTTCTGTTTTGTTTTAAAAGGAATTGTTGGGCTTTCAACATGCCCACTATAAACAAAGCAGACAATACCAGGCAAAAATAGTAGCAGGCTGACACATGCAAACAACTATGTGGATCAAAACAAAGCTCAAGTAAAGAAACAGACTTCCAGTAGAAGAACTCAAACAGGAACTCGGCCAAAAGGAAGAGGAGGTGCTTTATACATGAGCACCTGTTGGATAGAGTCAAAGTAGCATTTTTTATAGTTTATATAAAGTGTTTTCTCCTGTATTGATGTGTGGCTTCATTGAGATAAAAATCTTCACGTTAAAAACTAGAATCAATTTTAAAAATTCAATGTAAGGAAAGAAAAATACTATAGATAACATGCTCATCTTTGTGATTCTAATGGCATATTTTTATCTGTGTGCTCTGTAACTCCAATATGGTTGAGCATGGGCCTGTGTGTGTGTGTGTGTGTGCTTACATTCAGGCACAATATCACTAAAGCTTGATATTTTCAGTTTTAAGCTTTAAGCTTATATATCCGAGAAATAGAATATATGTTATGATTATCTATTATGATACGTATTCTCCCCAGTGTTCTCCGATGTTTATAAGAATGTACACATCCTGTTTTGTTGTGTAAGGTCAACTTGTTAATGGCTTATGGAGTATTTAAGAGATTTCTGGACTGTAGAGGCTTCGGTGTGATGTCCTGATAGCACGCCTGCATAGAAAAGGTGATTTCAGTTGCAATTACAAAACACAAAGATATATATTTTTTTTTTGGAAGGAAACCGTCTCAAATGTTAATGTGATTGTGAGACTGTCACCACATGGCAGCAGCTACCTCAGATGGAGTTCCAGTCACTGCATCTGCTCCTGTTGGACAACTTATGAGGTTAGTAAGACTGTTTCCTGATAATGCCAACAGTTGAAAATTTAAAAAAAAAAATTGAATTATTTTTCCAAGTAGTAATTCCATAACAGAACATATTCTACATTTTGAGATTTTATTTTTAATCAATATATTCTAGTCAAGCAAACTAGATATTCTTCTCTAATAAAGCACATGAAAACAGAATCATTGGCCAGCGAGGCTCATACATCGTCTCTTGCTCTTACTAGGCATGACTTTTTTGATGGACATTGTATCTTTGATCCCTTTTGTTTTCTCCTTAATCTCCTTCATCTATTTTGCCATTCCCTATCCTGTCCCTTTGGCTACCACCAATTTGTTTTCTGTATTTAATGAGTAAAAATATATGATATTTTTCTCTGTCTGGATTTCACTAAGCATAATAACTCCAGGATCCATTTATAAATACCAAAATCCCGTTCTTTTTAATGGCTGAGTAACAGTCCAGTGTGTATGTGTGTGTGTGTGTGCATATCTTTTTAAATATTTTTTTAATTCCAGTATAGTTACCATATAGTTATATTAATTTCAGATGCACAAAATAGTGATTCAACAATTCCATACATTACCCAGTGCTCATCATGATAACTGTACTCTTTAATCCCCATCACCTATTTCACTCTTCCCCTGCCCCCACCTCTCCTCTAGTAACAATCAGTTTGTTCTCTATAGTTAAGAGTCTGTTTCTTGGTTTGTCTTTCTCTTTTTTTTTTCCTTTGTTCGTTTTGTTTCTTAAATTCTACATATGAATGAGATCATATGGTATGTGTCTTTCTCCAACTGGCTTATTTCCCTTAGCATTACACACTCTAGCTTCATCCATGTTGTTGCAAATGGAAAGATTTCATTCTTTCTAATGGCTGAATAACATTTGCGCGCACGTGTGTCTGTGTGTGTGTGTGCACTACATATGTATGTATATACATATCTTCTTTAGCCATTCATCTATTGATGGACTCTTGGGTTGCTTCCATATCCTGGCTATTGTAAATATGCTGCAATACAAGGAGTGCATATATCTTTTCAAATTGTTTTTGTTTTATTTTGGTAAATATGCAGTAGTAGGATTACTGAATCATACAATATTTCTATTTTCAATAGTTTGAGGAACTGTTGTCCATAGACACTGCACCAGTTTGCATTCTCACCAACCATGCGCAGAGATTCTCTCTTCTCCACATCCTCACAAACTCGTTATTTCTTCTCTTTTTGATTTTAGTCATTTTGACTGATGTAAAGTGATATTTCATTGTGACTTTGATGTGTATTTCCCTGACGATGAGTGATGTTGAACATCTTTTCATGTGTCTGCTGGCCATCTGTATGTCATCTTTGGAAAAATGTCTATTTAGATTTTCTGCCCATTTTTCAATCGGATTGTTTTTCTGCTTTAAGTTGTATGAGTTCTTCATATATTTTGGATACTAACTCCTTATCATCCATATTATTTGTAAATAATATTTTTGTGTAGTCCCAATAGCTTATTTTTGCTTTTGTTTCCTTTGCTTGAGGAAACAGTTCCATTAATACATTGCTAAGGCTGACATCCAAGAGATTACTGCCTCTGTTTTCTGTTAGTTTTATGATTCCAGGTCATATATGGATCTCCTAGAAAGTAAAAAACCAAAGACCATAGAAAATTACAGCCTAACCAACTATTTTCAGGAGGTGGAACCTGGGGGGCCAAATAAAGGAACATTTCCCAAGGGATTATAGAGTTAGATTTCATAAATTAAATTTCATAAATATTTTCTATATCTCCATCTCCTTTCTATATGGAAGTGTTTAATGTCCTGGTTTCACTATAGTATATTGGCTGTAGTGCTAGAGGTGTAACTCACTTGCTTTTTGCATACATAGACTACTGGAGCAAGAGTAGACCTCCTGAGAACTGATGCACACATTATCATAAGATCTTTGACCTTGAGGAAGGTTGCTTGAGTAATTTCCCTCAGGAGGAGAGTAAAAACTTTTGAATAAAGAAGGAAGGCAAACAAATACTTTGTGACCGAGAGGATGGGCTGTGTTATATTGTATGAGAATGAGTATGGTCATGTTTTAATCCGTGCTTCCCTTTTCTGTGGGAAGAATATAATCTCAAGCACACATGGTGAGCATGATCCTGTGATTTATTTGGCAAAGGGAATTTGTGCTGCTTTCCAACAGAAACTTTAGGAACCATATTCCATATGGAAAACTATTTGGGAACATGTCATATTTGAAGCCTAGAAATAGATATATTGAAATATGTGTTCAACACAAAAAATATTTCAGTGTTCTGAACCTCTACATCCAAGCAGTTGAGCACCAGAGAAGATTGACCTAAAGCACTATCAACTTGTATGAATATTGTAATTTGGATTATTTGATTGCAGTTGTCAAATCTTCAGTTTTTTTTTCTGATGAAAGGTCATTACTGTTTCTGGTAGATGGGAATGAAAATACTCCTCACAGAAATAAGATTCTGCAATAACAATCAATACTTCCACAGTTTGACTTTTCATTGAGAGCAAAGAAAATTCTGTCAGTTTTAGTGCTCAGATTGTTAATTTTATAGTAGCAAATTCTTCAAAATATAATTAGTTGAAATTAATGTTTAATTGAAACTGTCAAATATGAAATTTCCAACTCCCCCAAGTCAACAGATTTTAAATAAATGAAAATGAAATATTAATCCTCTATATCGTAGAGAGAATAGATATTTGGAGGCTCATAAGAGAAAACCTAGGGAATAATTAAATGAGCAAAATAAAAAATTGTTTTGGATGAGTTGCTTTTCTTAAGGCATACTCACAAAAAAAAAAAACAATTTGATGTATATTTGTTAGGAGGTAAACATTCCTGTGTCAACATTTCATTGACATCTGTGAATATATGATTTCAAAATATGTAATTTGTGGAATTTAATCAAGAGTTCATTCCCATAGTACAGGACCAATAACATCTAGAGCCACTAGAGCCACATTAAAATACCAAAATAACTGACCACTTTAATAAATACAGTGGAAGAAAAGTCTAATGAATAATATAGTAATAAAATAAGCAAGCTGTTAGAGACAAAACAGGTTGTAAACTGAATTTACAAGATTATGCTTCTAGTACCTAAGAAGCAAGGAGTATAAAGTAAATAATTACAAAGACACATGGGTACTCACACTGCAGAAATAGTATCAGAAAGGCTAAAGGATGAATGAGATAAGGTTGGCAAAGAATATTTTAAAATTTGTAAAGCAATATCATATCACATAAGGAAAAATAAAGGGAAAATGTCAATTATCCACTGCACTGTGATATCCTTCAGTGCTTTGATTTCAAACATTTATGCAATTTTCTGCATAATTGCAGTTATTGTTTACAAATAATATACTCTGCTTATCAATTACCAAGACTGGTTTTCATGTTGCTATGTATTTTTAATAGCTGGTATATTAAGGGAATGTGTAATATCTGATTGAATATAGCTTTTTTGATTAACCAATCCTCTCTTATTGAAGGTCATTTGGAGTTTTTTCTATTGGTCTTCTTTTCCCATAGATGAAGAAAGTTTTCCATGTATAATTATCTGGTTAAAGGATATGAATATAATATGGTTCTTCATATACATAGCATTCCTAATTTTCTGTGCTTCTCAGCGATGGTCAAATTGTGGAAATGTTTATTATCTAATGCAAAATCTTAACTGCATGCTAACTGTTGCAAAAGTATGCTAAACCTCAAATGATTTACTTACAGAATTGTTTAATCACTCAATTTGCTGTGTTAATCAGATATACTTTTAATTTCAGTTTTTTCCTTTTGTTGAGCTCTGCTCCCCTAGTGTAATTCAATAGTCACTCTACATTTATTTTCTCTATTTATTTTTTAGTAATAGCTTCTCTATATAAAAGGACTTTCAAAATACTCACTGAATATTGTATGTTAAAAAGATGTACATTCAGGGGTCAAGTAGTGCCTAGCCTCTAGATATTTATCACTCACAAACCAAGGGGTAGGGAATAAGAGTTAGCATATAGTAATTGAAAATTCATTTCTGATGGAAAGGGGAAGAAGAATTGCCTAACTTTAAGATGATATTCATGCTTAAGTCCTGGATTTATCAAACTAACATTCATTAAGCTAGGTGCTCAGTACAATTCTGGTAGAAAGAATATAGAGACAAAATATATTACCAGCATAAGCTTTGATCTCTAACACATTCATTTTCTAATCCATCTGCACAATAGAAACACTAGAAAATTTTTAAGATACTGATATTCAAGTCTCCTCTACAGAATCTGAGCCAATTGTTAAGGGTAGGGGGTGTTGT